CGGTTCTCGCATCGGCACCACAGGTGGGACGGCTTTCAAAATCAGTCGGACGTTTTTTCGCGGTGCATATAACCTCACCAACCTGAGCAAATCGTCCTGGATGCTTTTCCGTGGCTTTCGTGTTTGCTTCGTATCCATTACCAGATTAGATACTTTGACGGGACACTTCAAGTGAAAGTGTCCCTTCCCCCCACCTCCAACGCAACGGCGGCTTTTGTCAGCGTTGATTGGCTAATGCATTATCCAAAAACCATATCGTCTGATGGGTATTGATGCCTCATCAATGGTTTAATTTGTCGATGCATCAATGATGGGATGTCTTGTCACAAACACTCAGCTGCCGCAACAACGCCCATCCTTCTATTGATATAAAGTTTAGTAGGTTGGATTCGCAAAGTTGCCCGGTCCATCTCTCCATGTACCCATCGACCATTCACACTCACGGATTGTTTTTATTTAATTCATGATATGTTTTATTGTACGCTAAGTGGCCATTTACTTTATGGATTTTACTGGGGTCACTCGGTATTCCCGCAGACTTTTCACGTTGCCGAAACGCATTCTTGTCTGCATAATGGGGATTTGTTCCATGTGCTACAAGTGTGACGCTGTTTTTACACGACTCACCGATTTATTTTTTTAAACAGAATATCAATGTTTCGGCAGGGTAGATTATGAATCGGTATCACAGACACATCATAGTTGACTGCTACAAACAAACAAAACTGGGGGTATTACCACCAATTGATCAAAACACAACTTGTTAACGGGCCGGTTTCTATCTAACTAAGGAAAGGGCGATTCAGCGTAATAGTTGTGCTATACGAGTTGTGCATCTTTATCTTCCTTGGTTTTGGGCAACAAATACATTCTTGCATTGAAGGAGATCGTGCGTGCCTTACGTAGGAACTTACTCAACAACTTGGTTCCATGATTGGACCTTCATTTTCACATTTGTCAGCTACTTATCGGCTTGGATGCGTTCCATTCAAAAACTCTGTATTAATGGCTTTGTGGTCCTTCGAGGTGCACTATGCCACGACGCCATAAATGCCTTCCGAGCCATTTCCGTTCTGTGGGATATCGTTTGGGAAAACCAAGGTCCTACCGACCCCCGCTTGTATCGCGTCAAAGCAAACCTTCCGCCATTGCCCGCTGTACTGCTGTCAATAATCCTCGAGCGCTACATTCGTACATTTTATCCAAGTGTCGACCCCACCACGTTAAAGTGGTGCTATCTCAAGTCTTACGCCGATGCACCTGACCAGCCGACTCACCGAGACTTCGCGGTGTCGAGGTACACTATAGATCCGATGGATGTTGCAAGTCTCCCCAGCTCTCTGCTCATTGCCACGCAAGATGATACCGTTGTCTACGGTTATGGCTGGAACCACCATGTTGCATTTCAGTCCGATCAAGTTGTGATCCGTCTGCAGAAAGGAGACCTCCTTTTTATGCGAGGCGACTTTATTCACTCCCGCGCCGGATATACTTGGAACAATCTCTGTATCCATACATTTCTTGGC